CTTATTTATATATTAAAATCTATAAAATATGTTAATACTTTGCTTTTTATTTTAAATTTAATAAATATTAAACTTAAATAAAAATTATAATATTATTTATTATATTTTTATATTTTAATAATTAATAAAATATAATTTATATTTTTAAAATAGTCCTATTAAGAAAATTAAAAAGTAATAACTAAAATAAGAATAAAAATAAAAATAAAAACAATACTTAAAATCATATTTAATATATTTAAATATATTAAATTATATTAAAATATTAAATTTAATTTAATAATTATTAAAATTTTAAAACATAAAATTTTGAAAAATTTTTTAATCGGATATAGATATCCGATAAGTTATAAATCGGATATCCATATCCGATAAAGATTGTTTTTAAAATTTTATTTTATATATAAATTTTAATAATTATTTAATTTAATTTAATATTTTAATATAATTTAATATATTTGAATATATTAAATATTTTATTTAATATAATTTACTTTTTTGTTATTATTTTTATTTTTAATTATTTTATTTTTATATTTTTAATATAATTATTATTATAACATAAATCATATTTTAATAATTATTAGAATATAAAATTATATTAAATAATATTTGAATTTTAAATTTAGTTATTATTAAGGTGATATAGAATCTTTTTAATAAAAAAAAGAAAAAAATAAAAATATATTTATTAAAATTAAAAATAAAATTTTCTATAAAATTAAAGGTCTAGGATAATGATGAAATGTCAGAAGGTTAAAAGTGAAATTTTTGGAGCTACAGGATGAGATCTTGGAGGTGTAGGATGAAACACTCAAAGAAAGAAAACACACGGCCCAAAGCACGTCCAAGGGGCAGCAGGTCCAGCTATCTTCATGAACGTGCACAACAGCTTCAGCACGCCTAGGAACTCATCACGACCCACACTTGGATCCACGGTCCAACAAGCAAGAGGGGGTGGCATCCAGCAGCTATGGAGTGTCACGGCCTGATTCTGGAAGCTAAAGGCAGCAACGTACATGGGGTGTGTCCAGCAAGCGGTCCAGCTTTCATGGATGTGAGGAGCGTCCAACGTTCAAGCAAAGCAGCAGCGTGGCCCATGAGGATTGGCAGCGTCCAACATGTGAAGGAGGAAGTCGTTCATTTTTTCATTTTTTTTGGGAGGCTTTCGGTCCAGCAAAGCAGCTACGGATGGGGGGCTTCACGCGGAGAATGGGAAGCATAGGGGGTGTCCAAAGAAGAAGCATCACACGCGTCCAATGAGGGCTTCATTCACGCATCCAGCAAAGGGAGCACATGGGTGATTAAATAAAAGGAGAGGCATGGGCTTCACGAGGGGGAGCTGGGACGTGTTGGAGCCGCCACCTAAGGGATGATGTTGTTGAATAGGAGCACGCAGCAGTTGAGACGGAGGAGGAAGAATGACTTGACTATTTTGGAAAAAGCCACTTAGAGAGCACATGCGGAGAACGGATAGGATCATGAGAATAACACGGTGATTTCTTTTGAAGGGAGGTTGATGTCCAGCAAAAGGGGGAGCTCTCGGTTTTAATTTCAAGCGCTGATTTAATCTTGTGAAGGAAGCATGATTCATTTTGTTGTTCTGGAGAAAAGTGGTCACGCTTCCAACCTTTATCACTTTCATTGGTTTTATTATTTTATACATTAGAATGCAAAGCAGCTGACTTGTTACTTTTGCTGTTAATGTTTCTTCTTAGTGTCATTTCGTTGTGAATTGCATTTAAATGCTTGGTTTACTTGTTGCATTTTTTTTTTTATTTTACTCCAGCCTTTTTGCATTGAATGTTTCCAGCTGCATGGTGTTTCTATTGGCGCGTTGCATATCCACAACATTAATGTGCATTTCCTTATTAGCCAAGAGTTTAAGTGTTTCTTTATTATTTGTTGCATTTTAATTAATTCCCATACCTTGCTTTAGGATAATTCAGTTTACTGTTTTCGTTCACTATGTTGTCTATTTTGTTCGGTTTCTTTATTTTCCTGCATTTTCAATTTCCGTACTTGCTTTAGAGACGGTTCGATCTCAATGTAGAAACGTTCGGTCATCTGTAGGACCATTCGGTCTTTATGCTTTGTTCATTTCTTTCAATGTTTTCACTAATGTTTGGTTGTATTTAATTTCCAGTTTTAATTTAGTTCATTTCGAATCACAAAAACACTTTCAAAACCCCCTACTACGTGTTTGTCCTAAGACCCGAACCACATTTAGTCCTTGAGAGACGACCTAGGAGTCACTTCCTAGCACTATACTACATTCTTTAATGCACATCAAATTTGATGGGCCGCGACAGTCCGCATAAATCCCTCAGAAAAAATTATTAGAAACATCAATGAACATGTCAGAATAAGATCCCATCATAAACAAACATCAATTGTTCTCATCTCTCAAATAAAGTCATCAAAAATTAATTATTATATATAAATATTTCACATATGATTTTTTTTATATAAAAAATCATTTCTTTTCAAATAAAAAATTAGTGACAAATTAATTTGTTAAATAGCATAAAGAAAAAGAGATTTAAAAAAATGCATAACAAAATCTACAAATAATTTTGAAGAAGAATAAAGGAATAATACACTTAAAAGAGTAAGACCATATTAAGCACGTGTAGTGTATCTAGTTTTAGTAGAGTCCATTTTCTACTAGTTTCTTCCCAGTAAGCCCACAAGTTAATGCTTCCCTTGGAATTTTTCCAACTTTGTGAACACCCTCCGCGAAAATCACACCCATTCCCATGTGCAAATGTGGTTCAATGTGGCAATGGAATGCCCAAACTCCTGGTTTATCTGCCTTAAACCTCAATGCAGTCCATCCATATGGGAATATTACAGCAGTGTTCCTCAATGGTGCATGTGTCAAGTTGAATTTCTTCTCATCACCTTGTTTGAATTTGCCTTCTCCATATCCCAAAACCCAAAAGTCATGCCCATGCAAGTGCCAAGGGTGAATCTCACTACCATTTCCACTCAATTGGTTTGCATTTTGCAGTATTACATCAACAACCTCACCAAGGTTGAACTTGTACACCCCATTGCCAACGGTTGAGTTAGGATTCACAGGAGGGTTGAAAATGTCATACTCTTGAGGGTAGGTCACAGGTGGAGGTGTTTGATCAAAAGCATCGTTTAGTCTGAACTTGATGGAACCCAAGTAAGGGGTCGCTGGCAATGTTAGGGACACATTGTTAATGGACCATTTGGTGAACCCATGAACACGATTTTGGGTGTTGAGAAGGAAAATTGTACGATCAGAACGTTGTGGAGGTTGTGGAGTTCCCATCTTGGCTATGATTTTCTTAGTGAATGCTTTGCTACGTTCAAAATCATTCCAAAGGGGTGTGACGGGTGGTGGAGAAGTTGGGAAAACTGAGGCAGAAATTGTCTTGTAGTTCAGAATGGTTAAGCCTTGTGTGGTGTTAGGTTTTCTTCCTCTAACTCCAATTGAAAGCCAATAGTTTTTGTTTGGATCTTGATCTGTACGAAGGAGAACCGAGTAGGTCTCACCTGAGTAAATATCCATGTCATCAACCACAAATGGTGTAACATAGTTTCCATCAGCTTCCACCACAACAAGTTTGTGATCCTACAACATAAAGAATTTTTTAACTAGTTACCTTTCAATTATTTAAAAAAATAAAATTGCTAATATATTTTTTTCTTAAAAGCAAGTCCATTTTAACAATCATGATTTAACATAAGAAGGATTTTCTTTAGTTACACCATTGAAATGTATATTTTACCAAAACCCGTGGAGTCTTAATGATACACGTACTTTTGCTTTTTATTCTTCTAATATTTTTATATATCTTAGATACACCATCATCGTTTTCCAATGTTTGGTGTGCGACAACAACTTAAGTGAATCCCAGTCATATTCCAGTACATCCTTTTGAATAAAGAATAATTGCCATTATTTTGTAACACCACCCATATTTACCTTTATTTTCTATACACCTAATTAAGATATGTATTCAGCACTAGAATATTTTCCTTTCTAGCGACCATTTCGATTTTATGGTCATCCATTTTTTGTGGTGTTTTCTTTTGTTATTACTTTACAATAAATAATTTATGTACAGAGAGTATGTAATACATTTTTATATTTTCTTTTAATTTGCAGCCTACATGTAATAAATTATAACTTTTAATAGTTATCTTAAACATCATAGTCATCATATAATAAATTATAACTTTTATATTTGTGTTACTAATTTCTAATCCTTCTAAATCAACCACATGAGACTCTTTCAAGTTCCAACATACAACGGTCTTTTCGGATGTACGCAAAAAATAAAAAAGAAAAAAAAAGTCATGCATTCACACTAATTTTTTTTTATATTATATATGAAAGATGGACCATTCAAAATTATAAGTGTTTTACATCCTTTTTCAACTTCTTTGATACCTTAGTCAAGTCTCTATTGCCTATATAACACCACCTAACACTTCAATTATTTGTTGTTGGTAAACAAAAAATCAGTAATAGATGTGATGAATTGCTGTGGATTTTTCCAATTTCCGAATTTTGGTTTGAGTGAGCATAATGTAAAATATCTTATAATATCCTCATCAAATATATATAATAGTCACTAATTAAGATGTGTGTATATGTGTATGTGATGTGATGAGAGTTTTACAATTTTGGCATGGTGAACCAAAAGATTTGGAATCCAACAAAAAGACAAAAGGTTAAAAATAGAAAACGCAAAAAGAGAAAATAAGATGAAACATCCCTCATATAGGTAGGTTCATATATATAGAACTCACCGAAATGGCTAAGTTGAGTGCAACTAGGGAAGTGGTACTGGCAACCCTAATTCTGTAGGTCTTGTTTGGCTCCACATGAAGAATTTGTGGGGCACATTCTTCACCACCTTTAAATTGGCACTCTGGTAGAGTGGTGTTTCCGAATTTAGCTTCCAGAGAACAATTGAATTGTCCCCTTCCATTTATCAACAGACTCTAAAAATGGTGAAAAAAATATAGCAAAGGGTGAGAATTAGATTCTAGAATGTGTAGCTTTCTTTTTTCTTTGTGTTTCTTTTCTTTCTTCCTTTTCACGGAATAAAAGAACTACTACTTAACGCGTAATGCTCTAGTAAATTGCACATTTGCATGTAGAACAGTCTAAAATTAAATAATCATTTTTAAAGTAACGTGAAACTACGCTATCTTGAAATATGTTTAACGGAAAAGAAAAAGAAGAAAAAAAAAAGGTAAAGGTAAAGGTAGGGTTGTGAAGGATTCAAAGATGCCCCATTATAAAAATCGAACGCTACTTTAACCAGATGCGTCACATGTGCATCTTTTTTCTATATTACTTTAAGAATTTGATATGATGTTTTGATTTGGATCTTATATCATTCAATCAAATCACTATTTCTTTTTTTTTTTTTTGTCATATAAGTGGAAGGAAAAGTTAACATGTTTCGATTGGTTCATGGCATGTTATTTATAAACCTTTGGGTCAAATAGTATTACACATAAAAGAAGCAATATTTACTAAAGGTTTTTCTTTTAATTGTTTGATTGCATTTTCTTTGTTTAATAGAAATATTTTAGAGTTTCCTATTTTTAATTATTATTCATTTTGTTATTTCTTTTCCATTATTATAACTCATAATAAAATATATAAGATGTGCAAAACAACATCCTTGTGTTAATTTAACGAAGTTATTAATTACCTGAGGTTCACCTATCCATTTTAATGGTTTTGAGGAGAGTCCAACTTCTTGTTCATGTGAGCTGATGTGCCACAAATCACTTAGAAGAAGGTTGAACTCACCATCATAATGAAACGATTCGTTTTGTCCTTTTGGCAAATCCACTATCAGTGAACCGTACAAACCTGCTGCTCTTTGCATACCATGGTGTCCATGATAAAAGTATGTTCCAGGCTGCACCATATAAATTAATATATTATATAAAATGTGACTAAATTTATTCCAAATAATGACTTTCTTTTAATTGAATTAAAAAGAAAATAAAAAGATGTAATTTTGAAAAACTTTTTTTTCTTCTCTATTTTCTCTTTCTTACTTTCATTTTCCTACACCAACCCTTTGGACTCAAAATTCAAAGTATTAAGACATTGGATAGTAATCAATTTACAGACTTATATATAAATGGATAATAGAAGCATGTGTCTT